CTGTCACGGGAAACTTGTAAAGTTCATGTCACTGTTTGAATCAAAATCCAGGCTGTGTCATTTACTTAGCTTACACCTTCATGTTCCTCCCCCTTTTTTAGCACAATGGTGCATTTTACAGCACACCCTCTCACAGTCTTCACATCTCTGCACTTTGGCCTCTCTTTCTCTCACTCCTCTTTCATCTCATCTCTGTGTTTCTTGCTCCAGCTACAAAGACTGCCTTCTGGCTAATAAAATTTGACAAGCATAGCTAACCTTTTTTCTCCACAGGTCAGCCTCTAGCGTAGCTCTAATCAAATGTGACGCTCATCACGGTACACACCTGCCATTGAAGGCCTAATGAAAATGTCCGACAGTAAATTAGGGAGACAGTGCTGGAAGTTCACTGTTGAGGGGCCTTGACAGGAAGAGCGGGGAGGGAGGAGGGCGACGAGTGCGTCTCATTTGGGAAAACTATGCAAACACACACAAACTAGAAACAGAGGCGCCTCTTGCCATACCTTCAAAAACATTTTGATAAGGATATATTACACCCATTTTATCTGCAGCATCATTAAAACCAAACATATGAGAGATATTCTGTTCCCTTGGAAACAATAAAAATTGCTTCCAAGAAACCCCTCTGTAATAAAATTGGAGACGTAAAATGCATGCTTGTTTGCACTTCAACTTATAGATTTACACACACAGGCAGTAAAGCACACCTCAGGATATTCTGTGTCGTGGTCTAAAAATCGCTGGACCACACACAGAACTGTTGCTAGGTTACGCTGGGCTTCCTTCACAGAAATATTACATGTGGGTGGCTGCGTCTATTTCGGACCATGTGTGTATATATATATATATATCTGTGTCTGTGTGAATGAAAGGCGCAGAGGTTCCAACCTCAAGGCCGGCCGCATGTGTTTTAACAGATGTACGGACTTTGTGAATGAGCTCCCGCCTTCGAGCCGCAGGTGGTGGAAGCCGGCAATGAGGGCGACACGTGTGGATGTGAGAAGTCAGTGGGCCAGCTACTCTATTGTAAGGAAAAAAACCTTATATATCGCAACTTTGGTCTGATTTTTGCTTCTCCATCCTTTAAGTTATAATATCACTGACTGTAAAATCAGAAAACTTCAACCCTCCACTGGAAAACTGCTTAAATGAGCAGTTTAAATCTAATGCTGCATTAATGTTGCTCCAACCTCATTTGCTCCAACTGAAGGAGTCAATCTTAAAAAGGGTGACGAATATATAGACTCAACTTCAACAGCTGCATTTATCTTCTATCTCAAGTCAAGCCAATTTAATAGCACTGTCATCCCAACACTACACATGAGGGCAGAAGGAAGAAGCTGCTTTCCTCTAAAACAAGAGAGGAGCTATGAAAGAACAGGACACACATATCTTTAAGACAGAACATAAAAGAACCAAACATTACTGCATGTAAAAAGAAAAAAAAGCAAAGTGTCTTAGTTCTACATAAACAGGCAATTAATACAACTCAAAGCTGTTGTTTCGGTGCTTCATGTTGTAAACAGAAGCTCGAAAAAATTAAAAAGATTTATGCTATGAAATGTATCATAAAACAGTGAGTAATCAAAGTGGCTTGTACTATGGAGGAAATAAGCAATAAATAGGAAGGATTGTGTTTCCTGTAATGATTAGGAGCTAGAAAGGTTTAACCTATATGCTATGAACTGCTATATAACATCTGCAGATGGATATACATGTACTACATTAGTAACACCGGCCATGTTGCAGCATCCTTGGTTCACCTCCAGTCGGGGACCTCAGTTGCAGGTCGTCCTCCTTTTATTTTCTATCAGTCACTACCTGCGGTTGAAATGAATGAAAAAAAATTGAAGCTCTGTGGCACAAAGCAGACAAGCTCTGTCAGGCTTTGGGTAACACAGCCAGTATTTGTTCGTAGAATCGATTCGTTCTTGGTTTTGGTGGATTTTTTTTTTTGATGGTAGTGTTGTATAGTACTCGAGATCACTCTTGACTTTAGCAGGCCTCTGCTTCTTCTCTGGAACGAGCACATTTTTTTCTTGGCCTCAGACAACGAGGACTCGAGATTTATTTTATAAGACCAAAGCTGCAGGGATTTCATGAAATTGCTTTGTGTTGTGTCATGTATTTGTTCACATCATTTTGAGTAGGATGTACAATTTCCTGATTTAAATGCAACGACTCAAATGTTTGGTAATGTTAGCCACCCCCTACTTACTCTCTTTAATGAAAGTGAATGCAGGAAACAAAAGAGGAAGTCGTGGCTGTCTAGGAGGAGCCAATATGTCCAATATTTTGCTTCCTAAACCACAAAGAGGTGATAAGCAAAACAGTGTCCACAAGAAAACACACAGCAGTAGGTACATTCTGCGATGAAACGCTGACTGAGACTGTTCGGATCTTGACAAATGTTTATGGCACATAGAAAGGAAGCATAAGGAAATGTTGGCAACCTGTCTCTGCACCAAAACTCTTCAGAAATCTCTCAGGAAGTATTAATCACAGGACATACTGTATGTTTCAGGACAGTCGTTTTGCTCACTCGCACTTGTCTTGACTTGATCTCAACCCGACTTAATTTCTGTTCATGTGGTTTTGACTACGAAACTATACTTTAGATAAACAGTACAAAGCTTATCCTTTAATCTGATTGCTTCTGCATTATGCACCACTTACAAACTCTGCATGCAAACACCATAAAGGAATGCATAGTTTTTGGTGGCCAATTGAATTATTATGAACATGTGCGGTACGAGCGTCCTCTAACAACATTATTAGACACTTATTTATATCTTTCTTTATCGAGACACCCTCACATGCAGAGCTAACAAGCCAAGGGAGGCTCCCCATCCATCATGCCTAATGTTTAAGACTATCTAATATACATTATGAGCAAAGCAGGGGAGGGAGAACGGATAAGTGACACACCAAGTGTGAGCGAGACAGAGAAACTGAGGGAGAAAGAGAGGAGAGGGAGAAAACAGGCTGGTAATGAAGTACCCACCACTAGTGGATGAGAGCTAAAGTGGTCTAACAGATCTGTCAGCCTGCTAGACTGTGGCTAATTATCCCTCCTCCTCTTTTGTCTGCATCCTCTCCTCTGTCACTTCTTCTCTCTCGAATTTACTCTGCCTAACACGTTTTTTTTTTTTTCCTCCCTTCCCCTCAGTCTTGGCTCTGTCTTTCTTCCCTCCTTCCCTACACTCCTCTCCTGCTTTCTCTTGTCTCGCTCTCCCTCCGTCTGTCGCTTCCTTCCATTCCCATCTGTCTCCTTTCCATGTCCAACCCTCTCTCCCTCTCTCTGTATCCTCTTTTTTTTTTTTTCTTCTTCTTCTGGATAAGATTGGGTGTCTGGGGCTTAGTTTTTGATTTGCAAGTCAATAGTAATTTCTGTCAGAGAGTTTAAGTTGAGGGAAGTTTTAATGTGGCCTGTATTATTTCATACGGGAAATGATAAATTTGCATTAGAATCCTCCCCAGATTTTCTTCCTTTTTCCTCTCTCACATACAAAAGTAGCTGCAAGTTAAGGTTTCAAAAACTTTAGCAGTGATAATATATGTAATATGGAGGGAATGTTGACAGGCAGTGCGCTTCTGCAAGAATGAACCTTTTTGAAGACCACAAATGAGGTGCTCTGACAGCCAGATGTTACGCTAAACATCACTATAGGAATATATCAGCAAAGGCATAAAGCGAACAGAAGTTAACTAACGGGTGGTGAAAAAGAAGAAACTCACAGCCGGAAAACAGCAGACAGCGGGGGAAGCAAATCAGGGAGCTAATTAAATGAATTGACACATTATTAAAATTGAATAATAATGATAATACACAAGCACACTGACACATTTTTTGGTATTTTGCCTCCAGCTACACGGATAATGTGATGTAAAGATGGCTACTACTACAGCGTCGAAATTGGAAAAAACAAGGATTTAAAGTTTACCAATGACTGTGAGTTTTTCCGACTTCTCAGACAGAGCAAGCACGTAGTTTTATAAGCAAACATAATGTTCCTGACTGGACAAGGGAGTTACTTGACCTTCATCCAGCTGAGTATGTGTGAGAGAACAACCCATTAAATATTAAAAATAATGGCTTTATTATTATTATTATGTCTTTTTGTCTCCAAAACAGAGGCACCGTATTTAAAAACGACTACAATTTCTTCATAGTTAATTTTATAGTTAATGCAGAAGGAGGCCTGAGAATGTGAAAATCTAAAATTAAGTTAAAGAAAAGGGCTGAGCAGAGGCAAACTTTCAGAGATTTGCACCTGGACCCTGTATATATTTTTCTCAGGAGGAGTGTGGAGAAGAAAATGAGACACAAAGAGGATATGCAAGTTGAAGAGCCAACACTTGGAACACCAACGAAGCTACGAGCAAAAAAACTTCAAAGGAAGGAAAAAGCTGCATAACATTTGTCTATATTTCATGTTTGGTCGTAAAAGTGACCCCTGACAAACTTTTCGTAGCGATATCCCCATGAATCGATTAAATCTACCCACCTCGTGCTGTGTATCCGACGCAAAAACTCTAATTATCACATAGAAATGATTCCAATTATGTTTTTTAGACATTTTAAAGATTTACAAAGGTCAAAACTATAGCAAACATAACAGAGGAGTTCCATGAATCATGCATGCCACTGCTGTGTATGTGTGTGTGTGTGTGCGCATATGCAAGCATGAGGGTGTTACCGCAGTGTAAGCATGCATTCATGTTTTATGCATTTTCTGGCTTGGCAGACCGTGAATGTAAATATGTGGAAATACTCTCTCACTCATGCCAGCCGAGCCACGGTCAGCGACCTTGTGTGTGCACACCTACGCGCAAAACTTTGTGTATCCAGCACAAGCGCAAATGCTGCACACGCATTTGAAACACGTGTGTATTATAATAGTTGTGAGCTTGAATCAAGAGAGAACGGGCAGAAGGGCATCAGTTGGGTCCTTGTAAGCAGAGAAACATAAATAATCTAACCCCCTTTCCTCGCTCACCTGTCTGCCTGGGCCTGGTGCTGCAGAGCAGGCGGGGGTCTGGTCTTGTTGACCTTGGCGTAGATCCCATCGAGCTCCTCGGAGGATGCTCGAGGCAGTTGAAGACCCCCGATGGGTGCTGCAGGGGAGGGCGTGCGGCTGATGAATGGCCGGGGGGACGGCGGCTGGCGGAAGTTGTTGATGCGGGCGTAGTTGGGGTCGCTGTCATCGTCCTCCACGTCGGGGAGGGAAGCCGGGTCAGGAGTGATGTGACCGGAGTGGACTTCAGCATAACGTGGATCATAGCTGTCAGGGAGGAGGCAGGTAAACATGGACGCAGCACAAATACAAGCATTCTTCACTTCAGCCTCTTTTTAGCCTTATGATCGACAGCTGTTCTACACGTTTAACTGAGCAGTTGTTTTGGAGGACAAGGCGGCTGCATGTAGCTGCGTCAGGATGATTCACAACTTCTCAGGAAAGATGTCAATCATAACGCTTGACTACTGTGACAAATGCTTTTCTGTGAACTTTCTGGCTCTCTCAGCACTTTCCACTGTTGTAAACCTCTCTTGAGCGACACTCTAAACTATGAAAAAGCAAAACAGAGACTTTTTCAGTGAATCATACCCATCTCTGCTGTCAGGGATCCTGTCCAGCTCCTCTTCACTCAAGGCCTCCAGTTTGCTTTTTGATGTTTTTGCTGCGTCTTTGTTCTTGTCTTCTTTCTTCTTCCCAAACCTGGACAACAAAAAAGGCCCACATATGAGAGGGTGATATTTAAACTACCTGAATGATTCTCTGATAAGGAAGATTCCCTCCTGTCAGGACCCCTTGGCGTCGCATTAAAACGCACTTGGCCCCCTAAATGTCATTTTTCACCACCCAGGGTTCAATAGATCTATAAAAATCTGTGAACGTCAGAAATAGCACGACACCGTAGACAGATTTCCTCAGCTGGTGCTGTCACTGTCACTCCTTTTCAGGCAATGAGAAGTTCAGCTTGTAGCATGTGTTTAACCCTCTGAACCCCAGGCAG